TTTGCTGTAATAATTTATTTGAAATACTAGTTATAAAACTTTTTCCGTTTTGAAAATGCAATGTTCCAATCACTTCACAGAATATAAGATACCACTTCAGCCGTAGGAAGTTGGGATTCCGACCCGCACAGGATGGGGCTAAGGCTTGCAAGGAAACACACTTGGCTTCCTTAGAGATTTGGCCACGAATGTAAAATCCTAACCTAGGGCTTTCTCTAAAACAAAAATGACAAATCAATAGGTGTATGATCATGCCAGCCAACTTGCCTAGCATGGCCAACCAAAACCCATCACGACAGAATATTTATATTATGAGTAATGCTCACACATCTTGATCGTTGAGACCGCCTTATTTATTTATTTATTTATTAACCAACTTTATATCAATTCATTTCTATTCTTTTTTAAATAAATTTGGTAGGCAGCAATAAAAAAAATCTACAAACTATATAACATTTATTAGTTTATGCATTTAATTAGTTGTAATTTAAAATTACAATACCTTTAAAATTTTATAAACATTTGAATAAATGATAATATTTCATACAAAACATTAAAAAAAAATAAAATCACAATTGACTTCAATTAATTGTAAAAATGAAGTGACCTTAAATTAAAAGCTGAATTAGAATTGCTTAATAAAATTACTCCTCCAGACATTTAAGAACTTGCAATTTATAACTCATAAAACTTGCGCTTCATATTGGTCTGCCTGAGCCAAAATAACTTGTGAGCTGGCTCAAATTCTACTTCATAAATAGGAGCAAACTGATCGATTCGTTAACGAGTTAAGCTTGATTTAGGCTTGCTTCGACTCATTTTAAGAAAATATTAACATAACATGCAGTTTAAATACACTAAAAATCAAGAGTTTAGATATAAATTATTAAGAATATGAAACAAACCTATTCTACTTTATCATACATGTAATTTATTATTAAATGCCCACTGTCCGTATTTCATCACACGTTTGCTTCAATTAACATTATTTTTTATTTATTATAAATAAGCCAATTTCTACTTGTGATATTGCGCTCGGCCTCGAAGTCTAATAATAAATCATGCATAAGCTAGAAATAAGCTTGCCTGCCTTGTTCACTGTCCTTATGGCTTGGGGCGTAAATGAGCGGAGCTTGAGCGAGCCGGCCAAGCTCGACTAATTAAAAAATACTATTGTTTTTGTTTAGTTCATTTAAATATCAAGCAAAAAAAATTTGTTTATGTTCGGCTCGTTTGCTTAGCGAGCTTGAAACAAGCTGCTCGTGAACAACTCATCATTTTGACAACCCTAATCACGCAACCGTAAGATGTTAAGAGTAGGGGTAAGTCCTAAATTGTATTATTTAAATTTAAATATTTATTTAAATAAAACATAATATATTTTATTCTATTTGTTTAATTAATAATTTTAATTAATTATACATTTTTGTAGCCTTGTGTTAATTTTAAGTTATTTAATTATTTTGAGTCAAAATGAGTCGAACACTAACAAATAAATATTTGTTTGTGTGGTTCGTTAATATATATGTTGAACGCAAAAAAAAAAAAAATGTTCATATTTTGCTCATTTTTTTTCGCAAACGTGAGCTGTTCGTGAATAACAAACTGTTTTGACAGTCCTACGCTAATGTTATTTTTTTAATTTTTATTTTCATGCCTTCTTTTTTTTATTTTTTAAACAATAAAAATAGCACTAAATGGTAAAAATAAAAGTAAAATACATGAAGAGAAATAATTCCTCAGAATGCACCCAAAAAAATGATACACAAAAGAGAGAATTTGAAATACCTATTAAGTACGTACATAACATACAACCCAAAATATATAAATGAAATGGTAACAATTAAGAAACCAACAATTGATAGAATGATGTAAAGTAGAAGACGACAACTTCAAAATTCAAACGACAGTAACACGCAGAATTGAACACATCACGGATGTTGAGGCTTTTCCGGCTGCAAGTGCGGTTTCTACGGCAACTCCGGCTTCGGCAACTCATGAGGTATCTCCGGCAACGGAGGCAACGCCTCTGGCTTTGGGAGGTCATGAGGGATTTCCGGCAATGGCGGTAACTCTGGTTTGGGAAGGTCATGAGGGATTTCCGGCAATTGAGGGATATCTAGCTTCGGCAAGTCATGTGGAAACTCTGGCAAGGGAGGCAAAGCCAGTTTGGGTAGCTCATGAGGGATTTCTGGCAGCGGAGGCAACTCTAGCTTTGGGAGTTCAGGCAAAGGAGGCCATTCTAGCTTCGGCACTGATGGCTGCTCCTCCTTTGGAGCTTCTTCCAACAGAAAACGAGCAGAGTTTCCTGAGAATACGAGCGCCAGAAGAAAAGAGCAGATGATGATCAGAGATTTGGAGGCCATTTTTAGAAAAGATTGGTGAGTCTGGATATGATGGAAGGAGGTGGCTAATGCACGTGGTATTTATAATTGAAGTAAGGGAGAGCTGAAACTAAATTTGCAGATTTTGTGTGAAGCTAGCTAATCCTTCGTCAATTAGTATTAAGAAAATATTTATATGGTAGTTTAGTTGGTGGCGTTTGCTGTAATAATTTATTTGCGTTTGGTTTGGCTGTTGGAGCAACTGAGCATAGAAAGCGTGGGGGGAGAAGATGAAGATGAAGATGATGAGATGTCTGCTATGAAGCCTAATTTTGGGTTAGCTCACCTTCCTATCAATATTCATGCCAAGAAGAAAACTTGAAAGTGGATATGGGAGACAGCTAAGGACTTACGTAGATTTATAATTATAGGCACGCCATCAAAATGCAATTAGACTTTTCTTCCTTCCGTTTTCGATTGAAGGAAGAAAGCTTTGGTTTGAAGTAGGAAATGAAAAGGAAAATAATAATGAAATTGAATTTAGATTAATTTTTTTCATACTTTTTTATAGATGACGTTCAAATTGAGTGAAAGTATTTTTTTTAAAAAATTTATTGTGTGAATAAACAATGTAGGGATATGAATCTCAAAAATGATTTCATAATTTTTTTGTCGTCTGTTTTGCTATATATGAGTGTGGAATTGTAATTAAAAATAATTAAGTATAAATTTGGAAATAGAAAGTATGAATTTATTGTTATTATATGGGGTCTGATTTTGTTAAGCAATTATTTACTCCTGACGATTGCTGTGCCATTGTGTACGTCACATCGGCCATATTGTGAAAAGAGATAGTTCTATAGGTGCCCGCAAAGAATCACGAAGAAGTGTGACTTTTTCTGATAGACAGACAGTCTGACAGATTCCACCACCGAGAGTGATTGAGAATAGATAGTACCCTTGGAGAACGGTGTAGCTCGTGACATACGTCGTCAGTATTTTAAAAATAATATTATCATATTATTAAATCTTACTTTCATAGTTTTTTTTCTTTATTCTAGTAATCATGATGCTTGTTGTTAAGTGAGATATATATCTTTTATTTGTATGGTTATGAAGTGGATTTTTGTTTTTTGAGTGTAAATATATTGTTATGACAGTTATGTTACAAACAACATTACTACCAGTGACAGAATGATTATTTGTCCAAAACAAACAGTCAGTCAACTTATCTGCAACAGCTTCTACGCAACATCTTCCTAGTGCAACTACTATGCAACAACTTCCTGGTACAACTGTTGCGCAACAACTTATTAATAAGTTATAGTGTGTGTGTGTGTGTGTGTGTATAGATGTATATATGTGTGTACATATGTTTATAAACATTGGTGTTTGTTTAAGTTACGGTTTCAAATTTAGATTTAATGTTCAAGTGGGTTTAATATTTAGGTGAATTAAAATTATTTTATATTTGTTCATTTTTTTTTATTTAACCATGGTAATGAAATTAATTTTAGTTCATTGTTTTTTTCGTTTAACAATGATAATGATATCGAGAGTAGCATATAGGTATATGCTTTAATTTTTAATCAAGTTTGATTATTAGAACTTAGTTTAAGTTTAGTTTGTAGCGGGATTATTTTATTATCAAGATCTTCTTGATTTATAATGATGATTGCAAGGTACAATTACCTGTAAATTAAAGATAGATTGTATGGTTGTGTAGGGATATGCATGTAAATATTTCTTCTTTATTTTTTGGGGGCAATATGGAGTGTCACAACCAAAAAATAGTATGCATGAAAATCAATGATTTCATATATGCCACCTTAGCTTTGCATGAGGAGATTTATTTTATTTTTAAAAATTAAAATAGTAATAATTTTCTTGGGATATTAAAGGATTGGGTGTTACTTATGTATGTATTTATTTAAGATGTCAACTTGAATCATTATATATATACTTATGTATGGAAAAGATTATTTAACTAATGTGGTAAATGTCTTTGTCCTAAAATTTATAGTGCTATAATATATATCTAAATTTTAATATTATGAATGTACAGTATAATGCTTTCAATAAAAACATTAATCTGAGACTAGCTTTTTTCAACTTCTTTTAGAGAAAGTAGAAGACATTTCCTCAACCCATTATACTAATAAGCATGCATTTGATAGTTAGCACTATGTCGGCCACACGGATGCCCTTCCAACCTGTTGCTATACTTCTAATTACATAGCCCTTCCACACCCCTAAAACTCCCATCACACTACCATCTCCACCATTCTTCAAGGCAAGCCCCTCCGCTCCTGAGCTGTGTATATCTTCTCCAAAAACAACTCTCCATCTTCTAGGAGAGAGCGAATAAAATGATACCTTAGCTGAATGTGTTTCATTCTTGCATGAAAAGATACATTCTTATAAAAATGAATCACACTCATACTACAAAGTGAATCTTTCTATCCTCTGCTCCTTTTCCAATTTCCCCAAAAAACTTTGTAGCCAAAACAACTCATTACCAGCCTTAGTGATAACAATGATTCGGCCTCTGTAGCTGAAAGTGCAACGATCTTCTCCAACATGTAAAACCAACTCACTGTTGTCTTCCACAAAGTGAAGATATAACATGTTGTATTTCTTTTACTATCTATATCTCCTGTCAGATCTGAATCAATAAATTCTTGTAAACTGATCCCACCACTTCCATAAAAAAGTGTCATGTTGATTGTTCCCCTCAAATACCTGAGAATACACTTCATTGCCTCCCAATGATGTCTGCTTAGATTGCCCATGTACCTGATGAACACTTCCACTGCATATGCAATATCTGACCTGATACAAATCATCACGCACATTAAACTTCCAACTGCTGAAGCATATGAAATATCTTCATATGTGGCTTGCCTTGTTGTGCTTGTTACTATCTAACTCATCTTTTAACAAGTAGAACCACTTGTTATGTAGTGCTCTTTTTCCATCTGGTATGATTGTCAAATCCCAAGTCTTATGTGACCCCAAAGATTACATTTCGTTATTCATAATAAGCTCCCACTCCCTTGAATCTTCAACTTAGAGAGGTCGACTTAAAGCACTACAGTTTACCATTATCAGTTAATAACAAATAGTGTAATGAAGGAGAATATCTGTGTATAGGTCTTATCACTCAAGTGTATCTTTTAATTTATGTAGTAGGTGGTTGGTGCTCCTTCTGGTTGAGCACTACTTCTTTTTCTACTTTTCTGACCACTAGTATCGTGTTATCTCAACATACTTAAATTTTCCAGAAGTAGCTGATGGGCTATCATGAGATTTGACCCTGTCCTTATAAATCTCTATTTCATTAAAAGTTAAATACCCACTTCTGATGAATTTATAATTCTGATAATCCCAAATATTTTACCCAAACTCATCTGAGTTATATCCGATGAAGATGCACTTGACAGATCTTGAGTTAAGTTTGTTTCTCGACTCTGCATCAATATGCACATATGCAGAACACTCAAATACTCTTAAATGAGAAAGATTTACTTTTTTTTTCACTCCAGGCTTCTTCAGGTAAACCTTCATCCAAAGTTACTAATGTAACACATTTAATCAAAAAAAATTGTAGTGTTTACTACTTCAGCCCAAAATTGTTTTGTTAAGCCTACATGCAACATCATTCTCTTAGCATACTCCGCAAATTTTTTGTTTATGCGCTCAGCCACACCATTCTGTTGCGGTATCTTCGAGACAATGAACTCATACCTGAACCTCTCTATAATACAAAAATTCTTAAACTTCTAATAATGATACTCATCACTATTATTTTATCTGAGACACTTCAACTTGAAACCTGTCTCATTTTCTACAATAACCTTTCACTTCTTGAAGACTTTAAATACATAAAATTTTTGTTTTAAGAAATAAACCCATATCTTTCTCTGGTCATCATCAAGAAATGCGAAAAAATAGCGAGAACCTTCAATGGACTGAACTGGAGTAGGACTGCATACATCAATATGTGCTAACTCTAATTATTTTATTTTTACCACTGAGCCACTCTTAAAGAAAGAGGTTTTTTTTCTACTTGACATATATACAGTCTTCACAAAAATTTAGATCAACTTATTTCAAACCCTAAAGCTTATTTTTGGAAAGTAGGGAGTTCATACATTTCTCGCTTATATGACCAAGCCTACGGTGTTATAGACCTGCATCAACCTTGATTTCAACCACAACAATAAAATTAGCCATTTTGTTAATTAGTTAAAAAAAAGTGCTTTAAATGTTGTGCCCAAGCCATCATAAGTTCCCCCTGATTACTTTCCACAAATCACCTTTGAAAGTAATCACAAGTCCCGACCTTGCTAGCTAGCTCACAAAAATGAGATTTATTTTTAGATTGGAACATGTCCAACTTCAAAAAGTTTTTAGACTGTTCCATTTGACAACCTATTATCACAATCACCCTTGCTTAGGATATTGTAGGTCTTGTTATCTTTTCCCTAGATCACTCTGAGTGTCGTTTCTAAACACATCTTTATTGGGGAAAGCATGAAAAAAGGGCAATCTACTATCCAAGATTTAGTACTGACTAGGAATAATATTATGGAGTCATTTTCAATTTCACTGGTGGAGATTTTTGTAGAGAGATTTCTTTCCGGTCCTGCATCTACAACTTTTCTTGGAGCTTTGTAGTCCTTCTTAAAATGCCTTTTCTTATTGCAGTTCCAGCGTTCTCCTCTTATTGACTTTGGCTTTGCTCTCTTGGACTAGGATCTACCTCTCCCTGTATCGTTATCCATATTCCTTCACTGTTATCAAAATTCAACATAGAACCTGATGATTCACCATATTTCTTTTTTGCAAACTTCTTCATTCATCATCAAACCCACAATGTCTTTGAAGTTCAGCTTCAAATTCTCTGAAGAGTTGTTCACCGTTGTGACCAAACCATCCCACCTGTCTGGCAATAAAAATAGTAACACCAGTGCTCTAACCTCATCACTAAACTTAATTCTCACATAACACAACTGACTCGTTATAATATTGAAACTATTCAAGTGTTCTGCAACTGAATTGATTTTGACCATCTTCATGTTAAATTACTTCTTCATTAGAAAAACCTTAATAGAATCAAAAAGTTTTGTATACATCTTTACCAATGTTTCCATAGGATCCATCGTTATTTTCTCATTTACAATGTTAAACGCAATAGATGGGAGAAGTGACAACTGAATAATAACTAATGTCATTCAATCCAACACTTTTCATTCCTCCACAAGCATAAACCAGAGCTTCC